AACTAGTAGGGTTTGTATCTTCAAGCGCCACAAAACAAAATCATTCACACCAGTGAATTTATCAATCTCATACTTTGTTGACGACATCTTCTCCTCCACGCTCACCACACCAATTTTTTGTGAAACGATGCTCAAGAAAATAAAGTATGATTAGTTTCTTATTTAACAAGAAAACCACAAAGTAAAAAGAAAAGATAGAAGAGAATAGAAAGATAATTCAAAGTGGTTAAAACTGGATTCTTGATTCAATTACACATTAGGGAACAATGTTTACGATTAATCTTAACCACGACAATTTATCCCTCTGATTAGGGTTATCAAGGATTGATAGATAAGTAATAAATATTTATAAGAAAGCTAAACCATATCTTTCAAATAACATACTAAAAAATTGGCCAAACAGACTAGCCCAATTAAACATGCTAACTTAAACAACAAGCTAACATATTTCTGCATGCAAGGACATATTTCGACTACGACATGCACATCTTCGACTACTGTCGAACCATGAAGCTACCCTTGTCGAGGCTAGAGTTTTATAACAATACCACAATATGTTTACTCTATTGATGAGTAATGTTAAGCTTGTATAATAATTATCTTACCCTGTCGATGAGCATATTTGAGTAATAATATGTTTATTCTATTGATAAGTGTTCTTGAGCATATATATTAATATTGGTGAGTAATGATGAATAAATATATAATTATATGCATGTGTTGAGTTGTAATTACATGTATATATGGTTGAATGAGTAGTTCTAATGAGGAACTACAGTGGTGGCTTGATATTGGGGTAGTTGTCGATTCAGATGAGGGACCGATGTTAAATAGTATATTGATGTTGTGTGTTACATTTCATAAATCATGTTTATTTGTGGTCTCATATTCATTGGTAGAATTGTTGGTTCAGATGAGGAACCAGAGATGGGTCTTAGATTTATTGGTGGAATCGTTGGTTCAGATGAGGAACCATAGACGTGGATCAATCATTAACATAACTCTGAAATCCAAAAATTTGATACCACATGCATGTTGAAGTAGTAGAGATTAGTCGCATTGCATTACATAAAGTTGCATATGTGATTTTTCTATGTATGTGACTAATTTCATGTGGTTATTGAATAGTATTTATGAACTATCCTAACTGTTTATATAAATAGTTAAAATTATGAATGTATTTATCACCCCTTTTTGTTTGCTTGTGTGGCTCGTTGTGTTGATGATACAAATGTCCAGGTAGAGGAGCATTAGCTGCTACTGTGTGGAAGAATTGGCTTAAATGTCTACTTCATTTTTGTTTATCATTTTGAGTTTACTTAGTATTTTTTATGTTTTTCTCTAATAGTGTAACATCAGGGGTGAGTTTTCAATTGTTTGATGTTTCCTTGAAAATTTGTTGGAACTAAGTTTTTTTTACAACAGCTTGAGATATTTATGTTGAATTGTTGATTATTTTATTTTATTTTTAAATTCTCGCTGCTTAAATTTTAAGTTGAGAAGGAAGTTTTATGAGAGAGGTGTGATACTCTAAGTTGAGTTAAACAAATTAATTTGCATAATTTATTTAAATAAGAGTGTTTGGGGTTATGGTGTTATAGTCTTCAAGAATGGAAGACATATGATGAGAGAAATTTCACAACATTTCTTGATGTCCATGAAAATGAAATCCACTATAAATATGAACTTGTCCAATTTAACTAAAACATTCTTGGCTATTCTAGCTGGACTTATGATGGTTATGTCTTCCGTTTCCAATAATCTTTTTGTTGGTCACACCTTATGATCAATAATTCTTCATATCACTGATAAAGGTATCATGTTTACACTGACACCCAAAGTTAACTAGAGCACTCCCAACCTATACATCACCTACAATTATGTGTAATGTGAATCCACCTGGGTCATTTTCCTTTGGAGGTAGATATTGTTGGATGACATTGTTTCAACTTTCTTACTAGTGAAGGTTTTCTCTATCACTTACATGACTTTATGGAGGGGGTTTATGTTGAATGAATTGAGTTTTTAGCTTTCCTTTATCTTCCTTTAACTTATTTTTATCATTTATTCGTTCCTCTATTATTTGACCTCTTTCAACATCTACTTTTTCAGATTCACCAACTCAGATGACATTACAATTTTATTTTGGATTGGTACAAATGTTTGCATTAAAAGTACTACTTTATTGTTCTGCTAATCGTTTTGCTGTCTGGGAAATTTTTGTTTCAATATTCTTGATAGAAGCATTGAATTTTTTTCGGATTAGCCATGGAAAACTACATAACTAGTCTAGTGTGTTGTCCAATTTTGTTTTTATATCTTGTAGAGGTGGTTGAGTGTAGGTTTGATATGGTTATCAACTTGATGGTCAAAATTCTGATCCCCAACCTTGGTTGTAATTATTTCCTCTCTAGAAGTTGTTATTATAATATTTCTCACGCCTCTGTTGATTGTTGACATAGTTGACCTCTTCCTCTATAGGTAGGCAGAATCCAGTAGGATGATCATTACTACATAACTCGCAGTATGCAATTTTCCTTGGTTTTGGTGCTTCATGCATTTCATTAAGTCGTTGAGGTAGCTCAGACAGTTTATTTTCATGCTCATATATTGTTTACTTTAACAAATAAATTTGTACTAAAATTGCTTCATTGATATTTAGCTCCAAGATTCCATTTTTTCTTTAGGATGGATTTCAATTGGGTTAACTTTGATGATCAATTAGTGTCATTCTTTATATTATTGCGATTGCTCTTTCGATAATCTTTGAAATTAACAAACCATTAGCGGTAACATCTAACAACAACTTTAGTTGTTGTTGTAATCCATTTTTGAAGATGTGTATTTGAGTAGGGTCAACGAAACATGGTTTAGACATCTTTTCAACATGGATTTGTGTCATACCCTAATTTTAACCCTGAAATATTAAATCAATACAATCATCATGACATCTGCATCATCTGCATATCATATTACACATTTCATCTCGCATAATGCCCAAATTATTAATCATAATAATTTTTCGTATTTACAGACATGTCGGTCAAACTAATTCACAATTGTGCGTAAAATCACTGGACGGAAAATTTCAAAATCGAGCTTGCAGACGTCAGTTATCTTAATCTACGGTTCGCGTAGTTTAACCTGACGTGCTCATTTTAATTCTTCAACTACTTTTTCAATCACATTTTGATCAATCTGAGCCTTTTAACCAGTCAGATTTTATTTCAAAAAATAATTAAACGCTATATTTTTTCGAAAAGTTTATTTCACGCTAATAATTTTAGTGCATTCGATTTTATTTTTTGAACACTTTTGCGCCTGACTTTTATTTATTTTGAGTCATTTTATTTTAACCTTTTTGTCAATATATTCGTAATAAATAATTAGAATTTTCTATATTTTATTTTTGATTTAATTTATTTATAATAAATTGATTTTGTTTAATTTAAGTTGTTTTAAATCAATTTTACACTAATAACATTCATAAAAGCAGTTTGGAACTTAAAAAAAACTGAAACTCTAGAAATACATGTATCTTGTAATGAACGCATGATTTTGAAAAGAGGGACCATTTTGATGCATCCGCGGCGCATACTGCATATTCAGTTGTATTTATCCATGTGTCATTTTCTTGACAAGTAGCTTCCCTTTCTTTCGTTTGATTTTGATATCTCTCTCAACACTAAAAACTGAGACCCTTACTTTCCATTTCATTATTACAACCTTCATTAACATCATCTTTCACTCAATAAACTTTCCTTCCATTCATCTTCTTCACCAACTCAAAAACTTTCTCACCCTCTCCACGTAGAACCTCTTGCTCTCTCATGAAAAAAATGTAAAGGTTCATCATCTTCATGGGCTCACTCAAAACCATGAAACCATGGACATCACCATTCCATTAAAACACTTCTTCACACCTCAAGCAATCTTTGAATAAAACTCCATCTCCATATCTCTCACTTGTTAACTGAAAATAAAAAAAAGAAAGAGAGCTGATTGAAAAAAGCAACAGTAAATGCAACTCCGTATCTCACCACGCAGGCACAAATGCATGTATATTGGAATGGGGTCAAGTGACCCCACTTGATTTTTCTTTTTAAAATCAATAATAATTAATTTTGGAATATTGACCCCACATTAAATACATCATTGTCCTCATACCACTCATTTGATTTGAATTCTAGGAAACATAAATTTGACTATAATTTTATTTTATTACTTTTTTTTAAAAGGAAAATGGAAATTAAAAAGACACAAGTAAATTGTATTTGTATTATTGTATAGGTTCTTCTAATTATAAATCAATTTACATACATACTCTATTTTTTGTCTTCTTTCTTCTACACGCTTTATTTTTTCTTCATAAATCTCCTACTTTTAAATCTTATTTGTTTTTATTGTTTTATCATAGTAGAGTTAAAAGACAATATTCAAGTAAGTTTCTCCCTTCATTCTTTTTGTTGTTGTTGTTGTTGTTGTTGTTGTTGTATATTATATTATTATGTTGTGATTTCATATTTTTGTATCAATTTTTATCATGGCTTTAGTTTTAATTTTATCCTTGTAGAGTTGTAGTTCAGTAGTTGTATTAGAATCAAGTAATTAATTAGTGTTAAATTTTTATGTGTTAGAAATGGAAAAATATTTTAAAAGAAAATCAACATTGGAGTCTCAACAAGTTAATGAAGTGGAAAATGCATTTGCACAACAAGTATGACCATCTTCGAAAAAGACTTTTAGATGTTGATTTAGATAATCTTCCTGTTGATCCTGGAGAAAGGAATCAAATGGCATGTTATCACCCAAATGATCGAGATGAAATCCAAAGAGTTTATTTACAAAAAGGGCCTTGTCAACCAAAGGACCATAATTTTCCACAACGACAATTTGGTACGTCTTTACGTAAGTTCAATCCTGATTGATTTCTTGAATTTGGTAGTTGGTTGGAATATAGTGTATCAAAAGATGTTGTTTTTTGTTTATGTTGTTACCTTATGAGACATGAGATAGGAGAACACAAAGGTTGGGATGCATTTGTGACTGAGGGATTTTCAAATTGGAAAAAGAAAGATAAACTCAATGTCCATGTTGGAGGTCCTAGTAGTGCTCACAACCAAGCTTGGAGAAAATGTAATGCACTAATGAATCAAAAACAACACATTGAAGTTGCTATCAACAAACAATCTGATTTGATCAAAAGGGAATATCATATTCATTTAACTGCAATAGTTGATTGTATTCGACTTTTATTAAAGTTGGGATTAACATTTCGTGATGATGATGAATCAGTGGATTCAAAGAATAAAGGTAATTTTCTCGAGATTCTACAATTTCTTTGTAATCATAATGAAGAGATTGATAAAGTATTGAAAAAATCTCGTGGAAATCTCAAATTAGTGTCACCGAGCATTCAAAAAGATATTGTGAAAACTGCTGCTTCTGAGACCACAAAAGTTATTATTGATGATCTTAACAATGATTTGTTCTCTATTTTAATTGATGAATCTCAAGATGTTTCAGTTAAAGAGCAAATGGTTGTTGTTTTACGTTATGTAGACAAGAAATGATGTGTCATTGAGAGGTTTTTTGGTATTGTTCATGTTGCAAATACAAGTGCTATGTCTTTAAAGTTAGCACTGGAGTCTTTATTGGCAAAGTATAATTTAAGTTTTTCAAGAGTTCGTGGACAAGGATATGAAGGGGAAAGTAATATGAAAGGAGAGTTTAATGGCCTCAAAAGTTTGATATTGAAAGAAAATAAGTGTGCATTCTATGTTCATTATTTTGCTCGCCAACTTCAGTTGACACTTGTAGCGGTTGCTAAAAAGCATGATGACATTGCTTGGTTTTTTCTTGTAGTTAACAATTTATCTAATGTTGTTGGAGCTTTATGCAAGCGCAAAGATATTCTTAGAGAAAGTCAAATTCTTAAAGTAATGGAAGCATTAGACAGTGAAGAAATCAAGAAACTACGCTAACAAGAGCTGGAGATACTAGATGGGGATCACATTATGGTACATTACTAGGGTTGGTTTCTTTGTTTCCTTTTGAGTGTGATGTGCTAGATATGATTTTAAAAGATAGCCTTAGCGCAGAGCAACAAGTTGAAACTCGTCAATTATTGAATACTTTATAATCCTTTGAAATTATTTTTAAATTGCTTTTGATGAGAAATATATTGGGAATTACTAATGATTTATCTCAAGCACTGCAAAGAAAAGATCAAGATATTGTAAATGCTATGACATTTGTTAAAGTATCAAAGGAAAGATTGCAAAACATGAGAGAAGATGGTTGGTCAAGTCTACTCGATGAAGTGTCATTATTCTGTGAGAAGCATAATATTGAAATTATAAATATGGATGATGTCTTCATGTTACATGGAAAACCAAGTCGTAAAGTTGAAAAAGTTTCAAACTTGCATCACTTTCAAGTCGAGGTCTTTTATCAAGTGATTGATAGACAACTTCAAGAACTGAACAATAGATTTAGCAAGGTGAATAGTGAATTGCTTATTTGTGTAGCAAGTTTAAGTCCACAAGATTCATTTTTTGCATTTGACATGGAAAAGTTGATTAATCTGGCTCGATTTTATCCGTCCAAATTTTCTTTGGTAGAACTTATGGGACTAGGGACGGATCCATAAATTTTAATTAATGGGGTCAAGGTTAATTTTTTTAATACAAAAATAAAAATCAAATAATATAAATATTTATAAAAAAATATAAATACTTATGCATAAAATGATGATGATAATATATATCTAAAAAGTTAAATATTACAAAATAAAGCACAAATATATATATATATATATATATATATATATATATATATATATATATATATATATATATATATATATATATATATATATATATATATATATATATATATATATATATATATATATATATATATATATATATATATATATATATATATATATATATATATATATATATATATATATATATATATATATATATATATATATATATATATATAAAATGAAAACGACATAATATTCAAAGATTATAATTGCTCTCTACGTGTCTTCATATTTTGAAAGTGTTGTAAGATTTTTTCATTTTCAACACTATCAAATATATTACTCTCTATGTATGTTATCAAACAATCATTCAAAAATTCATCACCCACATGGTTGCGCAATTGATTCTTCACAAAATTCATAGATGAGAAACTTCTTTCTACGGTTGTCGTAGCCACAGGAAAAAGTAATGCCAACTTCAAAAGTAAGTACACCATTGGATAAACAATGTGTTTTTTAGTCTCCATCATCATTCTTGAAAGATCACTAATTTCCTATAAATTAGAAAATTGCTCACTAGAACAAACATCCATGATGTAATTTTCAAGTTGATTAGAATGATGGTGGAGACTAAAAAACACATTGCTTATCCAATGGTGTACTTACTTTTGAAGTTGACACTACTTTTGCATGTGGCTACGTCAACCGTTGAAAGAAGTTTCTCAGCTATGAATTTTATGAAGAATCAACTGCGCAACCGTATGAGTTATGAATTTTTGAATGATTGTTTGATAACATACATAGAGAGTGATATATTTGATAGTGTTGAAAACGAAAAAATCTTACAACACTTTCAAAATATGAAGACACATAGAGAGCAATTATAATCTTTGAATATTATGTTGTCTTCATTTATATATATATATATATATATATATATATATATATATATATATATATATATATATATATATATATATATATATATATATATATATATATATATATATATATATATATATATATATATATATATATATATATATATATATATATATATATATATATATATATATATATATATATATATATATATATATATATATATATATATATATATATATATATATATATATATATATATATATATATATATATATATATATATATATATATATATATATATATATATATATATATATATATATATATATATATATATATATATATATATATATATATATATATTTGTGTTTTGTTTTGTAATATTTAACTTTTTAGATATATCATCATCATTTTATGCATAAGTATTTATATTTTTTTTATATATATTTATATTATTTGATTTTTATTTTTGTATTAAAAAAATTAACCTTGGTCTCATTAATTAAAATTTCTGAATCCGTCCCTGTCACCACGTGAATACTGCAACAACCGAACAGCGACAGAACATGTTTAAGCAACAACAACACTTTGCTCAAGCACAACGATTCGACGATTTCAAGCAATTGTTCGACAATGGTAACGATTCGAAATAACTTTGTTGTTGCACTTCGGTTTGTTGCTCTGATTTTGGCTCCGGTTTTAGTTTGGTTTATATTATATTAGTTGCTAAATTATGTGTGTATTTTTGTTTCAATTTTGGTACGGTTTACATTATATTGTTATGGTCAACGTTGTACCTGCATATGCTTTCTTAGGAAAGAGATGAACAATAGTTTTTGTAACTCATTTTTGTTGCTCTTAATATAAATAAATGTTTTAATATAAAGTTTTTACTAACGTTTTTTCTTCTTTTTTGTAACTCATTTTTGTTGCTCTTAATATAAATAAATATGGTTTTAATATAAAGTTAGACGTTTTTTACTTCTTTTTTTAGATAGTTATCCTAATTTATTTTTTTCATATAAGATTTATTATGATTTAATTTTTGTTTGACTAACCAAGATGATGTAATTTATTTAATTGTTTGTTTTTTAAAAAAATATTGTCTTATATACTTGTTTATTTTAAAATAAGTAGTTTTAGTATATTAGTCACTTATTTCTTTACACGTGTTATTCATTTTTTTCTTCTTTTGATCTTATTTGATTTTTTTAGTAGTTAATTAATTAGTTAGAAATTAATTTGAGTTGACTAAATTTTAATTAATTAGTAAATTACTCGATGAATGGTTTGAACGTTTTTCGTGTGCTTAGTCATTTTAATCTCTATCCATGCTCGTACATTTGCATATGTAAATAATAATAACGCATGACATTTTGCACAAATGCAATTTCGAACGCGTTTCCATTTCTAAAAATCAAGTATCAATTCCAACTTTTCAAATTCAAACCATTTTAAAATAAATATAATTCATTTTCAATCATTTCATAAATCATTTTCACTAATATATTAAAATATTTTTTTAAATAAAACACGAATGAAGAGGACCATTGAAGTCTAGCATTTCGGTGGAAACTCTCGAATGATTAGTCTTGAGCCTCGCGTTTTGGGATAACTGTTCAGTTTTTTCTTTCGTCCTTAAAATACTATAATTAACTTGGACAAATAAGGGCCAATGAGATCTAACATTCTGACGTAACTCTTTGAACAATTGATCATTATCAAACGTTCGTTGTCCATCAAACGATTTTCATAATAACTTGAATGAAAAAGGACCGTTGGAATCTACCATTCTGGCATAACCCTTTGAACAATTGATTCTCATAAAACGTTCGTCATTCAGCTAAAATACATCCAACCAATCAAACTATTTTTCTCGCCGCCGTGCAATTGATCTTAAAAACATTTTCACAAACAAAAGACATCTTATCTTAAGATGATGCTAAGCAATGCTTCATCCACAACCGTTGAGTTGAGATAAGTGGCGTGAATGTAATTCATAAATCCATTCAATATGGTCTAAACGTTCGCTCCTCACCTGTTTTGGGTAAAACAAATTTTTTCGTCGATTAATACAAGATAGCTTTCGCTAAAATCGACCAACAAACAAACTTTTTTTTAATCCAAAACTATGTGTGCCTTGATTTCTCTATTGAGATACGTGGAAGCAGGATTGCGAAATCTTGTCAGACCCCCTAATAATAAAAACCGGTCCCTTTCTTCTTTGCCCCTAATAAAAAAAACCTTTTTAGGTCCCTTTCTTCTTTGCCCCCTAATAATAAAAACCTTTTTAGGTCCTTTCTCATTAATAAAAATATAAAAAAAACATTTCTCTTCTCTTTTTCTATCCTAAATAAGTAGAAGATCGCAAACTAATATAAGCTAACATTCTTTCGACCCTAACTAAATGGTTCTCGTTGAGTATAACAAACATGAAGGATGCTAATACTTTCCCATTGTGTAACCGACTCCCAAACTCGAATATTGATTGCAATGACCATATCATTGTCTTTCTTTTAGGGGTTTTATTCGATATTTTCTCTTTCCCTCTATAGGAATAAATAAAGTTTGATGACGACTCTGTTAAGTCCATCCCGCGAGCGTGCGAATGCGCTTCGCGAGGTCGTGCACTCATTTTTTAAGGTACGACAATTTGTATCACTCCTAAGCTTCATATAAGGTCTTTGAAGTTCATTGGGAGAACACGATGATGGCGTTATTTACTTCTAAGAACTTATTGTTGGGAAATAACTTGTTTAAAAACTTTTCTTTAAGTAAGTTCCAATTAACCATTATCCGTGTCGGTTGATCTAGATACCATTCTTTGACCTTTCCAATCAATGAATATGAAAATAATCTCATGAACACCACCACATTTTCCAGCTTTGGGTGCTTCGAGAGTACCATAAAACT